CCTCCCTCCGCCGGCTGAAGGTCTGCCAGGGTGGGGAGGGGACGTGGGTGGGTGGTGGGACCCAGCGGGGAGGTGATGGCACCCAGGAAGGCGGTGGTGGGTTTTGTGATGATGCTCAGGCAGGCAGAGATGGGCTGGTGAGGGAAGCCAGGCAGGCAGTGATGGGGCGGTGGGGGTACCCCGGCAGGCCGGCAGCCAGGCAGTCACAGATGGGTTGGTGGTGGTACCCAGGCAGTTCTTAGTTGGTGATGGCAGCCAGGCAGTCACAGATGGGTTGGTGGTGGTACCCAGGCAGTTCTTAGTTGGTGATGGCAGCCAGGCAGTCACAGATGGGTTGGTGGTGGTACCCAGGCAGTTCTTAGTTGGTGATGGCAGCCAGGCAGTCACAGATGGGTTGGTGGTGGTACCCAGGCAGTTCTTAGTTGGTGATGGCAGCCAGGCAGTCACAGATGGGTTGGTGGTGGTACCCAGGCAGTTCTTAGTTGGTGATGGCAGCCAGGCAGTCACAGATGGGTTGGTGGTGGTACCCAGGCAGTTCTTAGTTGGTGATGGCAGCCAGGCAGTCACAGATGGGTTGGTGGTGGTACCCAGGCAGTGCTGGGTTGGTGATGAGAGCCAGGAGGGTGGCCGCTCTCTGTAGACTCCCTTGAAGACTCCACGCCTGGTGTTTGCTTTCCTGCCTCCCGCAACTTGCTCTTTAGAAGGGGGATTTGCTCAGGTGTCTTTCCCAGCCCCCATTCTCCGCAGCCCCGCAGAAACACGCACGCCCTTAGCGACGCCAGCAACGCCCCGACAGCTGCTTTGAGCCCTCTTGGTTTTGAACGCTCTCTAATGGCTCAGGAAACATTTGCTCTGGACTTTGTCGTGTTCACATGCTGTTGCTGGTGTCATTGATTTGGTGCTGGAGCATCTTTCCACACCAAAGCCCCCTGGCAGGAGTACCAAGGGGATTTTGGGGAGGGGTGCTAAAATTCCCTACTATTATTTGCGTGCCTTACCTCAGAGAACCACAAAAGCTCCCACCACCAAAGGGGTGCCTTGGTCCCACACTTGCAGTGGGTCAATGAGCTATAGCAGCATGAAGTTCTCAATACATTTGATGTCTTAGAGCAATGCAGGTGGTGCAGTCCACAACACACAGATCAAATCTGTGCAAAGCCCGAGATCATTTTATATTACATTATTACATACACGGTGCTGTGAAGCTAACTTGATGACCCATTTTTATTCGCTTTCTAACACACAAGCTCAGCACCCTGGGATTTGAATGCACTCTTGAAGAGGTTGATCTTGAAGACATCACTAAGAATCAAATCAACACCATAAAAGCTTGCATATCTGAGGATCCAGAGGTAAAAAAAAAAATATATATATATAATCTATATCTCTCTCTATGTCTCAAATTTCAGCATCCTGTTCTCATGATACTGCCATATAATTAGCATTTCCACAAAATCACCGTGTCTCATTTCTTCTTTAATTTGCAGACTGGAAACTGTCCCTCACTGGAAAGATCTACTTTTGATGCGGTAAATTGCAAGTTTCCCAAAAGAACACCTTCTTCCACCTGTTGTATGTTTAAAGCATTTAAGAACGGATTTCCTCCATTTCCTAATAACCCTGACTTTTGCAGAGCACGTGCCTGCAGGGCATCTCTGAGGACCTGAATGCCTACAAGGCTGAGCTGAGGAACTTCAGCGATCACCTGCTGCTGGCAAAGATTGATGAAATGTCAAAAGTAAGCATTTCGGTCTCCTGTCTTTCTCCTATTTCTGCCTTAAACCAGAGTTTTCAATCCACTTTGCTCCATTCTGTAGTCAGCCAAATAGTGATCCTTCTTTAATCTGGTAATTTAAAAAAGAAAAAAAATTGTCTGGTTCTGGTTTTCCTAGAAGGGACTTGATTCTCACAAATTATTTGGCTCACTTTGTATTTTGTGGTGAACACATGAGGACTCAATGTGTGGCTTCTCACAACCTCCTTCCCTCGCCCTGCTCCGCTCTCGCAAGGAGATGAGGGGGCAGGAATTTCTGCCATTTCCTCAGAGAACTCAAAAACAGAGTTAAAACGTCGAGCAAAAGGGACACAGCTCTATTTCCTTTCCAAATACTGCAATATAGCACAGCTGGTATACTGAGTAGGACACAGGACACACTGAATTTTGATAAATATTATTGGTGAGTAGAGGGAATAAATATTAAAATCTTAACAAAAGCTAATTTAGAAGAAAAAAAAAAAGTTAATTGCCTTTTCATTGACAAAGCATCTCCCAATAGCCTGGAGATTCCGGCCACGGGGAGATGAGCCCAGTCTAAGGAGTTGCTAGACAAAGCCAGCCATAAGCTTATTATTAAAAAAGCATCTTTATTCCTGGGCAGAAAGAGCCTTTGCGCACGAACGGACGTTTGTGCCCCAAGGGACGTACAGCTGTGCATCCCACATCTATTAATTGTATCATCAAATATTTCAAATTTAAGCCTATTAAGCACATCACCAAATATTTCACGTTTTACCCTATTGATTATACTGTTAAACACTTCCAAATTTTTCATTTAGGAGAGCAGCACATCCTCATTCCTTCACCTGGAGGGGGTGAAAATACCAAAGAACCTTTTTTTTTTTCCCACCTTCTTTCGTGTGCCCTACCTTCCAACACCCTTCCCTCTTCCCAGGTCCTTGGGAG